ACGGGCTGTAGCCCACCAGGCTCCTCTGTCTGCGGAATTCTCTAGGCAAGAATACTGGAGTGGATTGCCATTCCATCCCCCAAGGGATGGAGATGCTGCTGTCTGCCACCGTCACTGACCATGGTCTGCACGGAGCCAGTGGTCTAACACCGAGGTCCAGTCGGAATAGCACTGCTGCCGTCTGGAGGGGATGATGTCCCCAGCACAGGGCAGCTGTCTCCACCTGCCCTTCCCGTGGAGCTGTCACACAGGACGCTGCCATCTGAACCTGTGCAGCGTTTCCTGATACAAATGAACCCTGAGGATCCAGCGTTCTAGAATCAGGGCGCTGAGACACTGCTGCTTTGATTCCCAAGCAACTCCATGTGGGATTACAATGAGGAAGCTGTTCTGGGGCAAGGGAAAATAAACTGCATTCATCATTAGTGTTCGATTCTAAAATAAAATTTACCAGCGGAGGCTGTCCACTTAAGACTTTTTCCCAGCGAGCCCACATCTGTCTTCTTTCTTCCTAGAAATGCAGAGACTTGGCCGTGCAGCGGTCACAGGAGGGGTGTGGGCGGATGTTTACTGAACTCTCTCTCTGGAGACACTCAAAACGCCTTCACTTGGTTTCCTCCAGTGATTCTCGTAATTTTATAAGAAACATTTTTTTATTACTCACATTGCTTTTCCTTCATGCTTGTTAAGAGAAGGAAATGAGAGCCCAAGAAAGGGATGAAACAGCTAAGGCGGGGAAGAGAAGGGCAGACTCCAGGCAGGGACCAGCTGCACAGGAAGGGGGCCCACCAGGCCAAGGCTTGGGCAGAGTGGCCAGGAGAGACGCAGAGACAAGAAAGGCCACAGCCAGCCAGGGACGTGAGTATGGAAGGCTCTGCTGAGTGTGCTGCGTGATCGTGGAAAGGCACGGGCTCGGTCCTGCCCCAGCAGGTGGAAGAGACTTCACCAAAGCATGGAACCCCTTCAACCAAGACCCAAAAGTCTGATGGACACTTTTCAACCTGTGACTTCATAAAACACTCTAAACTGCAAAACAAGACACATTTAAAGACCACAGAGTGGAACCGAAGTTCCCTCTGTGAATGTCCACGGGCTTTTACGAAAGCACAGGTGTTCACGCTCCATGCGCGTGGCAGTCTCTGCATGGGATGAGCTGTGAGGGCGCTTAATCACACGCATTTATGACAGAGACATCAGGGAGGGTAATCAGGCCAAAAGCGCATCTTCTGATTCTTTACCGTTTTTCCCTAAAGAAATTGCAAATCACAGCAACAGCAAGAATTAGCAGGTTCGTTTGCCAAGGGAACTCACTTCTCAACCCAGCAAAACAGGCCACCCTTTCCGAGCCTATGTGCAGACCCCGGCAGCCATTTGCTCTGCTCCAGCCTGGCCCCTCATTATGCAGCAGGACCCGATCACAAACACCCACAGTGGGCAAGGCACACACTTAGATTTTCGGTAAAAGTATGGGCATTTTCCCCCTGAAAGACACAGATAATTTAAGTGTCCACTGTTCTAATACTTCTGACAGCTACAGATACCAAGAGATGTTCAATGCTGTCATAAACGATCTCAAGTTGAAAGAATTAATATTTAAAAAGATATTTATAGTCCAGAGAAACACTAGTGGTTGAGATTTCGCGGGAGGCTTCTTTGGCCCTCGAAGGAAGCCCAACCGTCGGGGTCTCCTTCAAGCCCAGAGGTTGCAGTGCCAGGCCCTGCAAGGGGCAGAGAGGACCCCAGGAGTGAGAGAATCATCCAAATAAGCCAAGTTCACATCCTGCCACCGTGTCTGGCCATGCTACTGCAGCTGGTGGGCTGGGGTTACACACTATGGAAACAGCCTGCCCCTTGCTGTGTGGAGAGGTGCTGTGACAATTAAATGTGCAGCAACCCCCCTGAAACAGATGCTGAAAAACCCGGCCTTCCCGGTGGGATTGCAGGACCTGCGTGGGACCACCTGTCAACATCACTTGGTTGACTGGCCGCCTCTGCTTATCTGTCTCAGATGGGAGGGAAGTGATTCTCGCGCTTTCCAGTGATCCCACTACAGACACACCAGTGACCCTCAGAGGATCTAATTCAGCCTCTGCCACTCCACGGGTCCCCTCCATGGTCCACACTCATCTTGACTCGGCACACTTGCAGTTGTGCATTTTCAGGAAGTGCTTCTTTGAAATGGCACCCGCCATCCTCACCCCAGGGTGACAGACAAGGGGTGGGTCTGTCTCTGGGGACGACGGGAAGAGCTGCACCCACACAGCCCAGAGGGGCAGGGCTGCTGGGACTCCATGGCTGCCCAGTCCCCACAGGGGCAAACACAGGCCTGCACGTGGGGCTGGCAGGCCGTCCTGTGGGCCCCGGACCCCTTCCCCACTCCTCTCCCCCACTCTGGTCCCGCCACCTGGGGCTGGTACCATGTTCCAGGTCCTCTGGCCACAATGACTTGGGCTGGAAGGTTCTCGTTTCAAGTGGCTGCTCGAATGTATTGCTCCTTCCACCCCCTCTGTCTAGTGACCAGAAAGAGGCGTCCAATGCCCCTGCACCCTGCTCCTTCCAGACGGCTTCCTCTTTCCGTCTTGACTCCTTCTTCCAGTGAATGGAGTGGCGTCAGGTGAGTCTCCTGCATCCAGTGCGCTGTGTCCAGTTTCAAACCACTTCAGAGCTCCAGCTGGCTGCTGATCCCCATTTCCCCCGACTCGGCAGGAAGAGAGGGGACGGCAGGTTTCTCTTGCCCTCAGCTAGGTGACAAGGGAGGGCCCCCACTCCCGTCACAGCCTGACACTGAGCTGAGGCAGGTGGCTTGAGACTGTGAGGCATCAACACCAGTGATTCCAACAAAACACATGCTTCAGGAGATCAAAAGTCAGGGCCCACTGTGGCAGAGACCACTTTGAGCCAGTTAGCCAGCAAGGAAGGACACCAAGTCTCTACAAGTAGGGCTAAGTGTGGTGCATCCTTCCTGCTTGCTGGGCCCAAGGGGGGTGCTATCTCGGGAACAGAAACAGAGGCACTGATGCCAAGTGCTCGTGGGGGAAGTAGCTCCGATCCCAAGAAAAACAGCAGGCAAAGCCCCTGGGTGTCCTGGTTCTGCTTACAGAGTTGGACAGCCCACGGGGTGGAGGCCTGTTTCCTTGCCAGCCACTGGGAGAGCCAGGGAATACTTTCACGGTCTTATTTTAGGATGGGTAATGTTGTAAACAGCCTCCATGCCCAGTCCACAGACAGCCTGTCTAGACCCTGATGTGAAGCAGAAGGTCACCTGGGAGACAGATGTCCCCGACAGGCTGCGGGCATGTGACGAGGGCTGCAGCCAGCCAGCACGGCCGCGGAGGGGGCGCTGACCGCGGGCGCGGGGGGCTCACGAGGCGCGAGGCCAGCAGGCAGCAGAGCTCGGCCGAGCCCCGGGAGAAGTGCCTCCCTCCCGAGTGCAGAGCCCATGTGGCCTGGGGATAGGTTTGCAGAGAGAGGACGTGTGGTGCATGATGCCTGAGGACAGGCAGAGGAGAGCGGCTCCAGCGGGAAAGGCCAAGAAGGTTCTGAATATGCTTGCTGCAAAGCAGGAACAGCGAGGGCCCAGGGGCACCTAGTGTAGCGGCTAAAATCAGAGGTGCCAGATCCTGGGGTCAAGTCCTGCCCAGCTCCACCACGTACACCGGGGGCCCCCCAGCCCCCCACCCACCCTGGGCCATCTCAGCTCCCCATCCACAGTGGGCCCCCCAGCGCCCCCATGCATACTGGGGCCCTCCACCTGCCCCACCCCACTGCCCCCAGCACCCCCACCCACTCTGGGCCATCTCAGCTCCCCCACCCACACTGGGGTCCCCCCACCCCCACCCTCACAGCTTGGCCTCAGTTTCCCAGATGCAGTACACAGCTGCCATTTCCACCTAATTCTTAGGTTTGTTCTGAGGAATAAAAGTATTTATTGTAGATAAATAAATAAACCACTGGGAATAGTACTTGTAGAGACCTTCCTCAGTGAACGCCAGGTGCTGCCGTCATCTTTGCTGCTACCGTTATCATTGTTGCTGTTATTATTATTATTATACCCACAGTAGAGTATCACAGGGCTTCCCAGGTGGCTCAGTGGTAAAGAAGCCGCCTGCCAATGCAGGGGGCACAAGAGATCTAGGTTCGATCCCTGGGTCAGGAAGAACCCCTAGAGGAGGAAGTGGCGACCTGCTCCAGTACTCTTGACTGGCAAATCCCAAGGGCAGAGGTGCCTGGTGGGCTGCAGTCCATGGACTCACACAGAGGTGGACATGACCGAGCACACACACGGCATACCCCATGGGAGAGCGTCGCTGGTCTCCCTCCCAAGCCTGCCGGCCACACTGGCCCAGGCCCTGCCAACCGGGAGGGCGGGGCTGCCGGCCCAGCCCTCTGACAAGGTGGTGACCGGTGATCTGACCCTGACTTACTGAGGCTCAGCCTGCGTCCTCCCTTGGGGTGATGTCTATAAAATGGGCACCTCCCAGTCTCACTTCACGGCAGAAACTGCTGGTCTAAAAGGTGGCTGTCTTGACCCCCTTCTGGGTCAAGTAGAAATCCCCCGGCCCTGAGCAGATCCTACTCAAAGTCAGGAATGTTACAGACTCTTCAACTACCCTCTGGCCCAGGTACCTGGAAGAGCCCAGGTTTAACGCCTCATTTATCCAGATGAAGACGACAGTGGTGATGTTTTTTTCAGAGAATGAAATTCATCTTTCCACACCAAATGATTAGTATTCTTTTTATCATTTTTACGGGACTCTTTGTGTTACATATAAACATCTAAAATGTCCTAAATGTTGTTTCTAAAAACCTCCCAGACCTAAGCAGCATCTTGGCTGACAGATTAAAAAGGCTTGCCAGGCGACAAGTGTGGGAGCACCAGGAGAACAACGGGGAGTGAAGATCCCATAGTGTCCCTCCCTTCCTCCCTAAGTCACGGGCCAGCTCGTGTGTCCTCTCTCCACCCAAGAGCGGCCTGGTGCTCCAACCAAGGCTGGGCTCACCTGCTTCGCGGCAGCCGGGCCAGGAGGTAAGGAGCCGGGTGTGAGCGCAGGGGGGCTCCCGGGGCCGCAGAGCTCGGGGAAGGGGTTGGGGATGGCTGGCAGCGACGAGGTCCTCAAGTGGGGGTCTTCCTCCTGCAGGCGCCTGCGGGGAGAGATGACGCCCATCAGAAGCTGCCGTGCTCGGGACCCTGCAGCCCACATCGGGGGATCTGCCCAGAAACCCACGGGGGCGGGGGGGATTCAGAAGGGTGTCTGGACACCTGGACCCACACCAGACCCCGCACAGCTCGCCACCATCCGCGGGTGGGAGTCATGGCGAGCGGATGACAAGACGTGGCATCCGTATGCAGTGGGGTGTCACACCGCTGCCAGGGGAAGGGGCTTCTGACACAGGCGGCCCGTGGGGACACCCTACTGAGCAAGCCCGGTGCAAAAGACTGACCCTGCAGGCCCGCACTGCAATGAACCACCTGAAACGAGCACACTCAGAAAGGGAGTGGAGGGTGGCGGCTGGGGACAGGGGGACGGGGAGTCAGTCTCTAATGGGGACAGGGTTTCAGATTTGCAAGATGAAAAAGTTCAGCAGGTAGATGGACTAGATGAAAACCCTTCCTATGATCACGGGGCCACATGCCAGGGAGCTTAGCTAACTGTTAACAGACCCCACCCCTCTGTAGCAGCTTCACAGTGGCGGGGCATCCACAGAGCAAGAGTGCGGGGCCAGGTGGGGGTGGGTGGTGAGTGGCCAAGGTCATCTTCAGGACCTCCCAGCCCCCAGTTTCCGAACCAGTGACTCACCAGCGAATGTCTGACTTTGTTTTGAATAACTGCACAAGAGGCTGGCTTTCTGACATCCTAGTTGTTCACAAAGCTTCTCTCTTGAGGAGGTTGTTGAAGCATTTTTAAAAGTTTTGCTTTTTAGGGTGGTGAAATGACTCCATACAATACTCTAAAACTGGACCCATTTCATCATACATTTGTCCACAAAGCATAGACTCCACATCACCACGAGCTGGCCTTGGTGGAAGCAGGGGCTCTGGGTGATGGACGGCGCTGATGGTTATTGGTACAGCAAAGGAACTGCATGGTGTGGATGCATGCTGGGGAGTTGAGTGTATGCTGGGAGGGAAGACGGGGAATATATGGGAAGTCTCTGCGTCTGCCTCTCCACCCTTGCCAGGAATCCAAAACTACTCTTACAAATAAAATCTTTATTAGGAAAATGATGCTAACTGAAAGAGGTCAAACACAGAAGGCCACGTATTTTACAATTCTATTTGTAAAAAATATCCAGGACAGATCAGGCCACAGCATGGAAGGCAGATGGTGGTTGCCAAGGGCTGTGGTGGTGGTGGGGGGGGGCGGCGGGGAGGCATGAGCCGGGCTCAGTGGGCTGGAGGGTCTTGGAGGGAGATTCTCAGGAATTAGACTGGGGTGGGGGTGCTGCAGTCTTGGGGGTGCCCTGCCTGCCACCGAACATGTGCTCGGTGGTGATTCAGTCTATGCAACGTGCATTTCACCTTAATAAATTATTTTTTTTAAAGTCCCGTGTTTCCTTTACAGTAGTTCACAAGCATCACTCAAAGCAAAAAACTAAGTGGCATTAGACTTAGCTGAGAAGAATTCCACTCAAGAGGCCTGTGGCCACGGGGCCCACCCCTCTATGATTAGCTGTATCAGTGGAGCTGGGATGCAGGGGGCGAGGTCGGGAGGGGAGGAAGGGTGGGGCCGCGCCTGTTCACCCGACTGGTGAGAACACGCCCCCGGCCCTGCCCCTCACTGCAGTCCCTCCTCCTCCTCCAGCCATCACCCCTGCACTGGCTCCAGCTTCTGCTCAGCACCTGTCTCCTCTGCGCCCTCTCAGCAGTCTGACAGTCCCGTCACCCCCACCTCACCACCGTGCCCCCGACCTCTCCCCTCCCCAGGCAGAGACGGAGCTGAGGTGCCCCCGACGCTGTGTTCCCCGCCCCTCCAAATCCAGGAGCTGGCGGGCTTCTCCTCAGGCCCTCACCTGGCTCTGCGTCCAGGGTCCCCACTCACCAGGCACGGGCCTCAGCTTCCTCACCTGGGAATAAGAAGCCACTGCACCGCCCCCTTGGTGAGGCTGCAGCGACCGTTCCATGAGCTGCTTCTACACAGGAGGGGCTCAGCCCACACGGGTGCTCGTGAACCCAGGGAGTCCTCAGCAGACCCGTTCACAAGACGAGTCTCTGGGCATCCTGTACTGGTCAACTTGTCTTTAACAAGGCACCTGACGGTTAGAAACAACAGGACCGCTATCACTGAGAAAAGGCCGGCCTGGAGCCAGCGTCCACTCTCCAGCAACGGGCATGCATCCGTCCCGTGGGACTCAGAACCTGCAGCCCCGGGGCAGAGGGCCAGGCACGGCTGGGGTCCCAGGCGAGGGTCCCGGGCAGCTAGCTGGCAGGAGAGCAGGCCTTCCTGTACCGCCGCCGCCCTCAGCCCGGGCCGGCCTCAGGCACCGTCACCACGGTTGCTGTTCCATCCTGCTGGGCCTCCCTGAGGCCGCCACACGTGGGCTGCTGACACCCTCCAGACCCAGAGAAGCTCAGAGGAGAAAAGAATGTCTCCCCCCAGACTGAGCTCACCAGCTCAGAACACGAGGGTGCTGGTGGAGGGGGCAGAGCGGCCCATCCGCTGGAAGGACGGATGTGACAAAGGGCAGGAAGCCGAGAGGGGCGAAGGCGACCCCAGGCCGCCCAGGCTGCCGCGGACAGCTGCAGACAGCTCTGTATTTACTCTGTTCCCCTCCTCGAGACAGACCTGGCCGCCCTGGCTGCAGAAGACTTAGGAAGCTGGGCTGGAAAGAAGGCTCACAGAAGTTTCCGGGAGCAGAGGGAAAGTTCCCTCCCCAAAAGGAAAGGAAAGGAGACCCAGAAGGTGCTCCAGCCAACAGGTGCCTAAGACACAGTACAGAGCACACCTTCCCCTAGAGGCCCCGAGAGGCAGCAGGTGTCAGCTCCTCACCTACTCCCACCTGAAAACCCACCAGAGCCGGCAGGGGCCTGGGTGGGGTCACAGAGAGCGTCTTTGCTGGATTTCACAGAGGTCTCCACCCGAAGGTCTTCCATCACCCCCACCTCACAGATGCTGGCCCCGACGTTCCCCCTCCCAGGCAGAAACAGCGGAAGTGCCCCGACACTCTGCCCCCACCCCCTCCAAATCCCGGAGCTGGCACCCGGGAGCTTCCGCCTCCTCCACCACCCCTGGTCGGGACAGCACCACTTGGGGCTAGTCCTGAAACGGCTTCCAAATCCCCCCCATGAAGCAAGGCTGCTGCAGTGACCTGCCAAAACCCAAGTCCAGCCGCGCTCGCCTTTCCCACCTCTGCCCTGGGAGCGGCTCCTGCAGGCTCCGGATCTCACCCCACCTGTTGGGATCTCTTTTCTAATCCACCCCTGAGGTCTGACGGATGCTCGAAGCTGCGTGTGTTCAATGTGTACAACTAGACACGTTTAGAGAGAAGAACGGTCCCCATGGTCTGGTCACCACCTCCGGACGGTCACGCCCACACTCTCCATGTGCTTACTATCATCGTCTTGTGTGCATGTGTGTAGCACGGACACATCATGCAAGACCCGAACCCCTCGCTGCTATCTCAGGTGGCTTTGCACAGCACGTCTGCGGGCCTCGTCCACCGGGTCAGACTGCCCCTCTGGCCCTCCCATCAGCACCTCCCATCTCCACCCCAGCCTCGGCAGCCCTCTCCACTACCTGCGTCCTTGTTTCAGACGCTTTCACTTCTCGTGGAAGTGGAATCACGTGGTAACTGCCCTTCTTTGTGGGTCCTATTTACTGGGCACATGGTCCCTGTTGTCAGTGATGGAGGAGCAGATAGAGAAAACATGGAGTGCACACGTGAGGGAATATCACTCAGTCACAAAAAAGGCGGGGCCGGCCACTTGAGACACCAGCAATCATCTCTCTTGCTCAGGAAGTCTCTACCTCCATCCCACAGTTCCTACTTCCCCTTCAACATCCAGTTCAGAAGTCTGCCTCTGTTAGGGAAATTAAATCAATAGTCTTGTTTAGGCTTCGGAGACAAAGCAGAGCAGGCCTCTGACCTTGCTTCTAACCTGCCTGGACACTGCCCTGACTGTGAGTGACCGTGAGTGCCTGCCTGCTGTGAGTGCAAGACTTGTAGCACCTTAGATAAGATGGGGGAGGAATCTTGAGATGGTTGAGCCCCTGGAGGGGCCTGGCCAACCAAGCCCCAGGCTTAGCAGCATTCCAAGTTTTACAAGACAAAACAAACAGCACTGACATGAAAGCAGAGCTGCAATTTGCTCCCAGATTGACTATGATATCAGTTTGAGTCCGTGCTAGGATTATAAGTGGGACCCCAAGCTTCAATCTTTGAAGTCTCACCCAGGGAGCAGACGTGCTGCCTGGGACCCTTTCCCAATTCTGACTCCAGAGGTGCTTTGGCACGGGACTTCCCAGGGCTGTTTGAGTCCGGATGCTGGTCAGAACCTGATTTGGTGATCTATCCTCTGCTCTCTCTTCTCTTTTAATGTTAGTGTATTGAAAGTAAGCTAGATAATTCTTTAATAAATACCTAAGTATTATTTATGTATATAACAAGAGGCTTATTTGTTAACAAACCCTTTGAGCCTGAGATGAAAGTGAAACCTTTCAGGAAAACAGCCTCCTCCAAGGAGCCCTCCTCCACTCCCAAGTCCTCTCCACCAAGGCTGAGCCTCTCCGCGTCAGCCCCTGGGAGATGCGGCCAGGCTCGAGGCTGCAGGCTTCTGTCCCCAGGCCCTGTGCTGGGCAGTGAGGTCTGAGAGCCCTCCAGGGGCTGCTTGGCTGTTCATTCACTTTGGGCTTTCCTGGTGACTCAGTCGGTAAAGAATCTGCCTGCAATGCAGACCTGCATGCGATTCCTGGATGGGGAAGATCCCCTGGAGAAGGAGATGGCGACCTCTTCCAGGATTCTTACCTGGAGAATCCCATGGACAGAGGAGCCTGACGGGTTATAGTCCATGGGGTGCCAAAGAGCTGGGTACGACTGAGCAAGTAACACAGTAATGTTCTTGGGTGGTGTTTTTTGCACACACCACCGACCTGGCACAGAGCAGGTGCTCATAAAACTGATCTGAACTGAACTGGGTACCAGGTCCAACCCCCAGTGGTCCTGCTGGACAGAGGGAAAGAAGGGGCCTGCCAAGCAGAGGCTGGCACAGTGACCCCACCACCCACTCTTTGACCCCCAAGGGGAGGCGGGGTGGCACAGTGACCCCACCACCCACCCTCTGGTCCCCGAGGGGAGGCGGGGGCCCACCTGACGGCGAGGATGCGCACGGGCTGGGACCGCTGCACCCTCTGCCTCGGGGCTGCCTGTGGCTGCAGGACCCTGGCTCCGGGAGTCGGGCCGCGGCTGTGCTGGCCGTTGTGCAGGAGGGGCGCCGTCTCCGAGGCTGCGCACAGGCTCTCCAGGGACGCGTCCATGTCGTTCACCAGTGCCTCCAAGTCCACGTCGTCCTCTGCGCATGGAGAGCGAAAGACAAGCATCAGCAGCGGTCAGCGGCCACGGCAGGCGGCGTCCCAGCGACCGGCTTCCGAAGCTCCTGACTCTTAAAAATGAGGAGCAGATGGAGGCCGGTGCCTGAGACAGCAGAGCGTTCTGGGAAGACACGGATGTGTCACATGTATCACCTGCTGATCCGCCAGAAGCAACCCTGTAATGGCAGCCCACCCACACTTCCTGTCTGTACAGAAGACCCTATCAGGGCATCTGCTCAGCTCACATGCCCCTTGGGGTTGGGGAGGTCCACACAGCCTGGACCCTCTGCCCCAACCCCAGCTGGTGGGTCCCAGGTGCACATGGAGCTCCAATAAGGCCAATCGGGGCCGCTCCCTTCCCCAAAATTCCAGAGACAAAGCAGAGAGACGGGGACGGGGCGCACCAACCCCGACCGCAGTCTCCCCTGCGAGGCCAGCAGCAGGGCCGCGCGCAAGGCAGAAGGGCTCCGAGGGTGAACACTTGCAGGACTCGGGGTGCCCAAGAACCAGAGGAAGCCTGCCCGCATGCAAGAAGACCTGAGACCATGAAGAGAGAGGACCATGGAGAACGCCAGAAAGAGATGCGCACGGAGGCACCCTGACAGGTGACGCTCTGCCTCAGCGAGGCTGACACTGGTCCACTATCATCCTGGGTGTTTCTGTGAAGCTGTTTTCAGATGACAGTGACATGTGACTTTGAGGGCCCTGGGTAAAGCAGACAGCCCCCCATCATGTGAGTGGAGATAAGGCCGAGGACCCCCACAGAAATGGACACAGCCTCCACGGGTGTGCATGCCAACTCCTCAGTCATCATGCGCAGACGCTCAGTCAGGTCCAACTCTGTGACCCCATGGACTGCAGCCCACCGGGCTGCTCTGTCCATGGGGTTGTACTGGCGAGAATACTGGAGTGGGTTGCCATTTCCTCCTCCACGGGATCTTCCCTACTCAGGGATTGAACCTGAGTCTCTTAAGACTCCTGCATTGCAGGCAGATTCCTTACCACTAGCACCACCCAGGAAGCCCAACTCCCCACAACAACCACCCCAAATGCAGCAAAGGCACATCCTGTGCCCTCAGTTTCTGGAGACCTGTCACTTTTTAACAATGTGGCCAACACAGCTGGGGCTGCCTCTAATGCAGTAGGTCACACGTCACCCGATTCACAGTCCATCTGCTCCCAACAAGCCGGGGTCACCCAGGAACAAACCAGAGCTTAGGGCCCAGGACAATCAGGCCTCTCGGCACCTGAGGTGGCCTGCCCCGGGCCCCGGCCCCGCCCTGCCCACGTGGCTCAGGGTCAGGTCTTGGTCTCAGATCCCCATCTCCCACGCCTGCATCTCTGACTGGAGCTCACAGGGGTATCTGGCCTGCAGGTGGGCACAAGGTCAGTGAGTTATTACCCGCTCGGCGACAGAGCCCGGAGCAGGGCAAACACTCAGTCAGTGCTATTTATTCGCTCTATATCACTTATTTGCTCTATTTATTCACTCTATAAGTGACAACAGGGTGGTGACTATTAACCTGGTTTAACAGCCAGGAGATTGGTCTGGGGCAGGTGGGGAAGAGGGTGGAGCTGGGCGGGCAAGTAACTGGCCCCAGATCACAGCAGGAGGGAACCTGAAAGCAAGCTTGCAGCTGCTAAGGCGACCTCACCAGGTGTGCAGCTGATGAATGAACGCACAGATCTTTTTGGAACACTGACCCCCCCTGCCTCGCTGTCCCCTCCTCCATTCAGCCTCGCTGTCTCGCCGCGCAGGAGGGCACAAGGAGGCAGAAGCGAACCGAACGGAACAGCAAAAGCCCTTCTAGGAGGTGTGGAAGCTGCAGGGCGCGGGGTGGGGGCGGGGGCGGCACAGGCTGGAAGAGGCTGGGCTGGGGGATGGAGGGCAGGCACGGGGCCCAGGCAGAGGCAGGGAGACCGCAGAACAGCCTCCTCCCAAGGCTCCTTCACCCTGCAGGCAGCGGCGCCCAGAAGAGGAGGCTGGGGAGGGCCCGGGCCAGACGGGACGCTACAGGCAGCAGGCAGGGCCCCGAGGAGGACAGACAGACACACAGATGGACGCAGAGATGGGCAGGAGGCTGCTGAGAGAGCTGTGATGAGCATGCAGTCCTGCTGGAGCCAAGGACAGTGGCCCAGGCGGGGTGAACGGAGCAGCGCTGGGGGAGAAGGAGGGTGCTTGGGGGGAGTGCATTTCAAATGTTAATCCCAGAGCCAGATATTAGAGAGACAATATACTGAATCAGTAATTAATAATAACCATGAAATCATCACAAGGGAGAACGTGGGAGTCAGCAGGCAGGGCTTCTGCACACAGCCTGGGCAGCAGGAGGCTGGTGCAGGTGGGGAAGGACCCGGACCAATCAGAAAAACCCCTGTAGGGGGTGCCTGCGTGGCCAGGGGGCTTGGGTCCTCATGCGTAAAGTGGGAGCGGCATCTGGCAACCGGACAATGGCTGCTAAACAGCCAGCGCTAACTCTGCCGCTGCTTCCGGAGCCCTTGGCTAGACATCCGACAAGGAAAAGTGCATGTTGTACTGGAGCTCTCAGGTTGGAACTTCCGTAAAGTTCTAGAATGTGTCCGTCAGGGCGGCCACTCATCTCCTTCACCGACATGCACATGAACTGTAGCCGTGGCTCATCTCAAACTAATGCTGAGCATATTTGTTTCGGATCCAATTCAAACAAGTACTCAGTGGGAACTAATTATAACAATGATGGTTCCTGATATCATTGTTGATAGGGTAATAATAAAGATGATTGGGTTTATTAGTACGGGAAGGATATAAACCAACATTTTCGGGGTATGGGCCCGCTAGCTTAATTAGCTGACCTTACTATTAGAGTTTGGTGTAATTGGGAGCACGAAGAGTTTTGGATTCTTAGGAGGAGGTTCAATTCCTATAGCTCTAGAAATAAGAGGGCTTAAACCTCTATCATTTACTCTATCAAAGTAACTCTTTTATCAGACATATTTCTTATGTTTGTGGAGGCATGCTTAATAGGAAGATAGGTAGTGATACGTGTCATATGCATAGGGCCAGTGTCAGAGAAAACAATAAGTCCACATGCTACCCTCACCTTATTAATAAATCAGAATTTCCAGCTTAACAAACCATTTCAGAACCAATAGGATGACATGCCAAGTCCACTGGAATTACCGAATCAGCCTTTGCTGGGGGAAGTGGCCTCTGTCAAGGATAGGAGGCCCTGGCGTGGATGGGCAGCATGGAGCACAATGGGGATCTGATGGTGTTTCATTACCAGCGGGGTAGCCTACTTGATTAACATGGGGAGGAAATTCACCAGAATACAGAGGCCACTGTTCTCCTGGCTTTCATCCTGCTTTAGAAATCAAACAAGAAGAGTGTTCTCACTCTGACAGATGTCTGCCAAGAAAACCTCCCCTTAAGTAGACTTTCCTTCAAGTTATCATCGTTACACGTTTCTGAAATGACTTAGCGGTTGAACAACACTGTATTTCTGAAAGCCCTGGCTGTGCCCAGTGAGGGCAGTCCTCCGAGGGTCCTGTCCTTTCCTTCCTGCTCCTTCCCCCAACAGCCAGGCCCCTCCTGGGCACCCACTCCGTGCAGTCAGGGCGCGTGCTCTCAGGAACACACAGTGATTCTGACATCAAAGTAAATATAAAGGTAAAACGGTAAACACAAAGCTAAAAGGTGTATGAGCAATGCATGCCCTTCAAGTGCTTTATCTCTCCTCCGAGGTCGGTTATTGATAAAATTGCTTTCTACTTTAATAGAATACATTCAACTGTGGATCTATTAGAGCCAGGAGCCTTGTAGGCTATAGTCCATGGGGTCGCAAAGAGTCGGACACGGCTGAGCAACTTCACTTCACTTCAATCATTTAACAACATACTTAGTAGGTTACAATTTTCATGAATAGACTCTACACTGGCATATTTCAAACTTGCCTATTTTCTACAGCCCAGATGAATGGATAAAGAACACATGGTACATAGAGTCAATGGAATATTACTCAGCCATAAAAAGGAATGGAATTGGGTCATCTGTAGTGATGTGGATGAACCCAGAGTCTGTCATACAGAGTGAAATAAGTCAGAAAGAGAAAAACAAGCATCGCTTCTTTAACACTCATACATGGAATCTAGAAAAAGGGTCCTGATGCATCTATCTGCAGGGCAGGAACAGAGATGCAGACGTACAGAATGGACTTGAGGACACAGTGGGGGAGGCAGAGGGTGGGGCGAGCTGGACAGTAGCTCTGACATACACTCACTAACGACCATGTGTGAAATACACAGCGGGAGGGTGCTGCATCGCAAATGCAGCTTGGTCTGATGCTCTGTGATAAATCAGAGGGTGAGACGGGAGCGGGGGGGGGGGGGGGGGGGGAGGTTCAAGGAGTGGATACCTGTGAGCCGGTGGCTGATTCACTTCACTGTACAGCAGAAATGAACACGGCATTGTATAAAGCAACTATAGCACCAAAAAAAGAGTCTAATAAAATATCCTAATCTAGGGCAGACTTCAAAATTCCCTCCAGGGTCATTTATGAATAGCATTTTGTCTGGTTAGATAATAAACTCACTTTGGGTTGTCTGATTTTCACTTAAACTTTATCCAACTCTATTAGAGTAATAATTAAAACTAACAAATCTTCCAAGCAGGGGTTTTAAAGGATTAATTCTAAAGAGGACATGGCCATATGCTATGGTACTTTTAAAAAAATACGTACACAAGGCGAGGGTGGGATGTTTCAAGAGAACAGCATCGAAACACGTATATTATCTAGGGTGAAACAGATCACCAGCCCAGGTTGGGTGCATGAGACAAGTGCTCGGGCCTGGTGCACTGGGAAGACCCAGAGGGATCGGGTGGAGAGGGAGGTGGGAGGGGGGACTGGGATGGGGAATACATGTAAATCCATGGCTAATTCATTTCAATGTATGACAAATCCCACTGCAATGATGTAAAGTAATTAGCCTCCAACTAATAAAA